ATCAATGTGTGCATGCAAACGTTATCTACAAGTAATAAATGGTTTGTATAAACGTGCAGCCACATATGCATGAATGTGCTATGCAGATACTCTCCATTCTGCAACTATTTGTTACTCTTTCAAAAGTTTTAGGAAATAAACTGCAAGTCCAGTAGTCTTTTTGACTAATATTCTTTTTCAAAAATGATCATAAACAAGTCACTTTGATAACAAACATTAATTTAGTTTCTTAGTATTGCTGGGACATAATTAATTCCTCAAAAAAAAATCAAAGTCCTATACATGACTGGAATTATCCTAATAGCTTTCTAAAAATGACGGTCATAATAATAAATTAACTAACAAAGTGACAGTGTCTTATAGTCTCATAGTAGAAAGAGAGCCGTGCAAGCAATTACTCTATAATTATAGTGATACAGAATAATCACTATAATAGAGCAATGTATGACACATAGAAGCAGCAACTGCATGGGCCTAGGGCGTTGGAGATGACTTCACAGAGAAAAGAGTGTTTCAGGAGAGGCTAAAAGATTAAGAAGAGCCACAAACGGGATGATGAGGAGAAAGATTATTCTAGGAAGGGAAAACAGAGTGGGCTAAGAACGGAGGAACAAGAAACAGAGTGTTCAGAGAGTGAGTCAATATTAATATAATATGTGAAAAAAAAGATGATATAAGAGGATATATGAAAAATAAAACTGTAAAAGAACAGGACTGAGGGACGCCTGGGTGGCTCAGTTGGTTAAGCCTCTGCCTTCGGCTCAGGTCGTGATTCCAGGGTCCTGGGATTGAGTCCCGCATCGGGCTCCTTGCCCAGTGAGGAGCCTGCTTCTCCTTCTGCCTGCCACTCCCCCTACTTGTGTGCTCTCTCTCCCTCTCTCTCTCTCTCTCTGACAAATAAATAAATAAATAAAATCTTAAAAAAAAGAACAGGATTGGTCATAAGAACCTTGTATATCATGAAACAGGCTGTAGATTTTATTCTGTAGAATGTCAGTTTATTTTGACATCTAAGGTATTTACATCTTGTGCTTTTAATTAATACTCAATTCATTAAAGTTAATAATGCAAAGGCCTAATTTATTTTAAGTACTTAAATTCCCATAACTTGCTATCTTATTTATACATCTAGTAATTTTTATTTAAATAAGAATCGTTATTGTCAGTGGGATCTTTGACTAATGATTGGACATCTCAGGTTAAATTCTTTCAAATGGATAGTTACACTTAAAAATTTAGTTTTAATTAAGTTTAGTTTTAAACTTACATGTTTTACATTGCATAGATAAATCTATATATTGAACTTTTTAAGCATTTCAAAAACCTAACTGAACAAATTTAATAACTGCACTAGGTAAAATCTTCCCCAAAACTTAAATGACTCTTATGAATCTATCAAAGCATGTCCAGTTCTCTTAAATATTCTAATTGTATTTGCAATGAGATTTTTCTTATACCTTTTCAGAAGCATATTTATTTTGAAAAATTTTATAAAAGGCAGAGAGAATAGTATAATGAGCCTCCATGTCCCCTGCACCAACTTGAACAATTATAAATTCATCACCAATCTTGTTTCATCAATACCCCACTCACTTCCCTCTTTCATATTATTTTGAAACTAATACCAAATACATACAATTCTATTCATGAATATTTGAGTAGGTATCCCTAAAAATTGGGGCTCTATATATTAATATAAAAATCAAGTCCATGTTCAAATTTCCAATTGTCTCTTTTTAAGTTTTTTTAAACTATTTTTTTTAATATTTTATTTATTTATTCATGAGAGACAGAGGGAGAGAGAGAGAGAAGCAGGCTCCCAAGGAGCAGGGAGCCCAATGCGGGACTCGATCCCAGGACCCTGGGATCATGACCTGAGCCGAAGGCAGACACTTAACCATCTGAGCCACCCAGGTGCCCCCTTTTTAAGTGTTTTGAATAAGAATCCATATAAAGTCTACACATTTTCATTGGCTTATACATTTGCAATTCTCTTTCAAGCTATAAGTCTACCCTCTATCACTTTATTTATTTATTACAATTTATTTGTTGAAGAATCAAGTTGTTTGTGGGCATTATAGTTAACCACAGTCTAAATGTTGCTGAGTGCTTCCCTCATAGGATACCTTACGTGTTCCTCTCTCCTCTGTATTTCCTGTAAATTGGTAGTTGCAGGTAGAGGTGACTTAACCAAATTTAGTTCTAGTTTTTTTGGTAAGCCTACTTCTTAGGTGATGGTGTATTCTTTTATCAGAAGTCTGTAATGTCAGGTTGACTCCTTTTTTGATGTGAGCAGCCGTTGACACTCAACATTGACACAATCAAAGAACCCATACTTTTCAACTAAACTAAAAAGCCTAACAAATTTTAAATTAGTTTGACATATCTAACTGAATATTTGCTAATGTAACACATCTCTTAAATATTACAAATTCTTAAAATATTGAACATAGGTATACTCTCCCATGATTATAAAACTTATTTCACAAATTTTTGTACCACAAATTTGATTTACTTCATCATTTCTGTATTTCTGTATTTAACTCTGAATCTCTCAAGGACTGAAGAGATTCACTAAGGGAAATAAGTGTCTTTTTATGACCAAGCTAATGAGTTGATTAATTGGGCCTTTCTACTTACCTAAATTAAAAGCTAAAGCACATGTAAGTGAAATTTTAAATTTTCAAATTTGTTCAGAAGTAAGTTTATTGGGTCAGCAGTTGATAACCGTATATGCTTACCATCCCAGGTGGAGACTGAAACATGTATGTCTATGGCAATTCTTCCTGAGCCACAAGTGTACCCACTGAGCTTGTTTTTTAGTCTAAGGGATAACAAGGCACTTCCAGCCCACATTCTTCAAATGGGGTTAGTTTTGCAATCAGCATCTGTTGGGTTTAAGTAACACTCTTTCCTAATTCTTTAAGTGGCTTGAGTAGTGAACATGAGAGTGATATAATCATATTTTGCATTAGAGAGATCGTTTTGGCAGCAATATGGAAAAGAGACTGTAAGGGTGGAGAAGATGAAGAGCAATGCTCATCACTAGAAGATGGGGCAGATGGCTACTGCAAGAGTCCGTGCTAGTGATGTTATAATTCTGTCCTGTGTCTAGCAGGAAAGAGGAAAGAGATGGAGGGAGGAAGTGAATTATAGGAAACATTAAATATATGGAACTGACAGAACATGATTAATTTGATGTGGAAATGAAGAAGAGTGAGAAACAAGGATGACCTTTGAGACTTAGGTGGATATGTGGAACTTCAGTGCCATTCACTAAGATAAGAAACCTAGTAGGAAAAACAGGTTTATGCTGGGATAAAAGAAGGCAGCCTCAGTTTCTGCAGTGTTAATATAGAACTGGCTGTGGGACATTCAAGTAAAGATGTGTATATATGAGTCTGAAACTCAGAAGAGAGGCCTGCACTGGAGATGTCAATGGAAGTCACCAACACTAAGAGAACAAATGAAGCTGTAGGTATATATGAGACCTTTCAGGGACAGATGTAGAGTGGAAAAAGAAAGGAAGCCAAGACCAGAACACAAAGGAACATCATCACTTAAAGGGGAAGTGAAAGGGAAATAAGCCCACCAAGGAAATTGTAGGATGGTGGTCAGAAAGACAAGAAACAAGCCAGGAGAGATTTCTTATGGAAACAAAGAAGACTCTAGGAAGGCAAAATGGCCAAAATGCCCCACTGTTAAGGGCCACAAAATAATCACATAATAATGCAGGTTGAGAGGTGTTCAGTGGATTTGGTAAGTGAGTCCTCTAAGAGTGGTTTCAGCAAAGGATTGGCAATAGGAGCCAGAGTGTAGTCATGAAGAATTGAGCAAGAGGAAAAGAAGTCAAGTCTGTGAGCACAGACAGCCTTCTCCACTTTGGCTGGGAAAAGGAGGACTATCTGTGGTAATGTGGAGGACTTAGAAAGGTAAAGGGAAGAATTTGGCTTTTATGAATGAGACTAACTTGGGCTAAGGGAGAAAACAAATTGTGAGATATTTAGGAATGGGGAGTGAAAGAAGAGGAATAATAATATAAATAATATGATGACACACAGAACAAGGAAGGGAAAGGGGGTAAAACACTGATAATTTAGATAGAATTCAGAACACAGGTGGAAGGAAATTTGACAGAAGGTAAGGATAAGTTTGGGTTAAAGGAATATATTTTTCTTAAGAGAGTTCACATCCAATAACTGCTATTTTATCAGTGAAATAAGAAACAAGATCATATGATTATAGGGGAGAGGAGAGGGACAAGAGATTTGCAGAAAGTAGTGAAGGTTTTGAATAGCCATTGAGAAGGATGATGGGAGAAAATGCTCACTAAGAAAAGGTATATGAGATTATAGAATAGTGTTGAGGGTAACATTGAGACTGAATGCCATTTGTAATATCAAGAATCAGTGAAATAGCAATTTTTTCCAGCTATGTTAATCAACCTGAGGAGAAAAATAGAAAATCTATATGGTTGCAGAAATCATTAGGGATTTGTGGGGCCCAGGTATTAACTGTTAAGAGCGGTTGGAGTAAAGTGCTTTGGAATGAAGCACCTTGGAGTCCAAGCCACAAATGATGGAAGTAAAGCCAGGTGGAAAACATCTGGAAAGAAGGAGTCAAGGTTTAGAACTAATTCTCTTTGGTATCTATATGATAAAAACAAACAAATGCCTTCAGAATCCCAGAATTGAAGTATTGATATACTGCGATTTTAACAGAAAACCTATTACTGCCCTGAAGCAATGGATTAATTTTACATGTCCACTATGAATACACAGAACTGTCTTCAAGGTCCCTGATTCTCCATGTTTTTGCCTCCATAGCAGCATAAATATGAGGCTAAAGCCCATTCTAATAACTTCCGATGTTTTAAATCAGAGCAGAAATTAAAGAAAAAAGAATAATTTAAAAATAATTCTTTTATTCTTTTTCATTTTTCATTGTAAGGTGAGCATCTATTTGCTCCATTTTTACTTTCTCTTCTTTCCTGTTTTCAGAAGCCCTGTAAATGAAGAAAGTCAAGATGGTATGATGTTCTCTGATGGTAAGGGGCAAAAAGATGTTTTATTTATTTGTTACCTCAGATACAGAAATTTGAGTTAATCATTCTGATAGGGTCACTATTGGGCCATTGTCATCATTGGTCCATGCAAGACCCCTCTCTTGTTTTACTTATGTATGTATTCCCTTTTACCTCCATGACCCATTCCCTTCTCTCTATTTCCAACCAGAGACAAATATTCTAATATATTTAATGTGTTTGTGTCTGTTTGTACATATTCTTTGCATACTCTTATATATGTGTATATATTTCAATTTACATAAACATTATGTTATAGCTCACTCTACTCTTTTTTTTTTACACTCAGCATAATGTGTTTTAGGGGGCCCACACATGTTGCTATATGTATATTTAATTTGTTAACTAGTGCACAGTACCCCCATGGTATGTATCCTATGCATTTGCATTTTACTTCCAATTCACTGGTACTTACAAATAATAATTCAGTGTATGTTCTTGTCCATATTCCCATGTGGACCTCTGAGAGACTTTCTTTAAAATATATATCCAGTAGTGGAATGGCTGTTCATAAGCTATGGAATATTCATTTTAACTGATTAGGACTAGAGTGCTCTCCAAGAAAGCTGCATCTGTGTGTGTACTCCCATCAGCAGGGCATGAAAATTCCAAGATGCTTATCTTTCACCAATGTCTGGTATTATTCAGCTTTCCAATTTCGAGTCTCATATGTATAAAATGACATCTCACTTCATTTTCATATTTCTGCTTCTAATGGGTCTGAGTACTTTGTGTATTAGCCTTTGGTTTCCTCTTCTGTAACTTGCCAGTTCATATCTTTTGACCAGTTCATATCCTCTGACCACTTCTGTCTTGGAGTTGATCTTTTTCTGGTTGACTTGCAGGAGTTCCTGTGTTTTTCGGTATTAATCCCATGTCAGTTGCAGACGCTGCAACTATCTCTTCTCACCCAAGCTGCCTTTCACTGAACATAAATGAATTTTGATATAATCAAATTAATTATTACATTGTAACTTGTGTTTTAAAGTTTTAGTTAAGAAATCCTATCCCTAAAAAATAAAAATATTATCTCCTATTTTCTTCTATGAACTTCATCCCTTATATCTGAGTCTTTGATGTCTTTGCAGTCCACCTTTGAGGAGTTAGTAGAAACCCAGATTTACTGCCTCATTTGTGGAACCGGTTTTCCCATTACCATACTTTGAAATCCATCATTTTCTCAATCTTCTATAATGCCATCTTTATACTACATCAACTGTATAGGTGTGTGTCTATGTATGTATATGTGTGTATTTGTGTGTGTAATAACTGTGTATATAAGAGTGTATGTAAATTTATTCATCTGTCTCTGAGCTCTCTGCTCTATTCTACTGGTCTATGTGTTTCTATACCAACACCACATTGTTTTTATTACTATTACTCTAGATTATGTCTTAATATCTAATAATTAGTTGATATCACTAAACACTTGAACTGCAACTGACATGGGATTAATATCTGAAAAACATAGGAACTCTTGCAAGTCAACCAGAAAAAGATATCAACTCCAAGACAAAAGTGGTCAAAGGATATGAACTGGCAAAGTATCTTTTTTCTTTAGAGAGAGAGAGAGAAAGAGAGTGAGCCGGGGCGGGGAGGGGCAGAGGGAGAAAGAGAGAGAGAATCTTAAGCAGGGTCCACGCCCAGCTTGGAGCCCAATGCGAGGCTCAATCTCACGACCCTGAGATCAGGACCTGAGCCGAAACCAAGAGTAAGCCTCTTAACCAACTGAGCTACCCAGGTGCCCCAGTAAAGTATCTTTTTCTAAAAAACCTAATTAACTTGATTTGCTTGATACATAAATCCAAATCGTTGGGAACAAAGAAGTCAACAAGTGCAAACTAGTTGTGATTTTCTGATAATACCTTTGTTCCACACAAGCCCATAAAACCAAATGCGCATGCCTTTCATAAAGAGGATAAAAAGTCTTCATTATTTTTTGGCCTTTGCATTATTTTATGAAAGCCAGTGAGATGATCTTACAGTTAAAGTACAAGTACTGAAAAGGCCATAGTAAAGATCTAAGCCACATATTCTATTTTTACTTATATATCTTTGATAAAGCATAAGTTCTGTTACATTATGAACTGCTTTGAATATATTATGTCTAATAATTCTGTACTAAAGTGCTTTCTAATTAAAGTATATTCAATTTTACTCTTTTTTAAAAATGCTTTAGGTCCTGGAAATCCAGATGAGGTCAGTCTTTTTTTCCCCTTCTGATATTATACAGCTTAACTAAAATACTTAACAATTATTGTGATTCATGTTCTATTGACATAAACCAACAAATGAAAACCGTTATGAGTAATAATGATATTTTTCCATTTATAATATTACTTCATCTAAAATGCTTGAGACATTAAACACCAGTCATTAAACTGACTCACAGGACTTTTGTAGCACTGCACATAAACTTAAGTCTGGCTAGACATCTGAATTACATAGCAGAATATAAAAAAAGATCTTTCTGTGCTTACTCTTCCAGTCTATCTCTTGAAAGAAAAAAAAATATTTTAAACAAGACAAGTTTACATACACTTAAATTTATGCTTGTTTTGCTAAGTATTTGATCAATGTAATATGTGTATGTTCCCTTTTTGAGTAATTAATATTAATTATTATTGTTTTCCTTGACAGGAACAAGACAGTGAAGGAGAAACATATGAAGACATGTATGAGTTACATTTCTTTTTACCATGATTTCATCCCTCTAAAATGAATATTATGATTTCTATGAGGGAGAATGGATGGATATTCAACATTAAGGGGGGAAAGTTTTATTGTTCAAATGACTGACATATAATGATAACCTTTATTTCAATACAAAGGACTAAAGATTCTTTCTTTATTTGTCTAAAAATTTTATGGAGGACTCTTAAAAATGTTCTTCTGTGAGAGGCCAGTGACCCACAGCTACTGCGGCCGGGAATCACTGAGCCAGGAATCTGTACTTCTTGTTCTCATTGTGTCCTTGGGCAAATGAATTTATCTTTATGTTACAAGTTCCCCGCCTAGACAGTAATTCCCCTCACAAGGGTGCTATGAGAAATAATTTACCACAGCACCAGATGGCAAAGTTTCAACCTGCTAAAGCAGAAAGATGTTAAAAATAGCTCCAAAATGGGTTTCTGGATAGGCCAGGACTAACAAATTTCTTGGAAAGTGAGGGAAAAGAGAAATAAATGTTAATTTGATTTTTCTTTTTTGATTCAAATATCTTAATTTTCTCTACCTGCTTCTTGTACAACCAATTCTGACGACAGTTTTTGAACTAAGGTTTGCATGTATGTGCATGTTCATGCCCTGTACGTGTGAGTGCATGTGAGAGAGAGAGAGAGAAAGATTGTATTCATGCCGCCGATATGCAGCAAGAACAGAGCCTTTATAAGCAGTGTCTCCCACTGGCTAGCACAGGTTGTGAGGGGAAGCAGAGCCTTTGGAAAGTATCCTCATTTGTATGCCTCCTACTGGATTTAAGAACAATCTCACACACCCAGGAATTTTGACAACCCTTGGTTTTTTACCTTCATCTCTACAGTCAGATACTGTTTTCTGTTGTGGGTAGAAACCTCTGAGTATATGAGCTGTAACACATCAGTGCTTGCAAACAACCTAACAATTTGTATCCACAGAGAAGCATCCAAAGAAAGAGAGAAAAAAAAGGAAAAGGAGGAAAAGAAGAGATTAGAGTTGGAGAAAAAGGAACAGAAAGAGCGAGAAAAGAAAGAACAAGAAATAAAGAAGAAATTTAAAGTAAGAGCTTGCTTGCTGATGGGTAAAAAAAAAAAATGATCTCTTTTTATAACTTTCACACAAAAGGGGTACCATTCTTAAAAACTTACATGGTGGGAGAATTACTTAATTGTTGTTTCCTAAAAAAGTAACTACCTTCATAACAGTAATTATTTTGCCCAATATACTCCCTTATCCCTGCACTAAAAATGTAATATGATAAAGTCCAAATAAAATATGGGCAGCTTAGAATTAGTGAGCACCTAGGAAATTTTATGGTGATTGAGTGAATGAATACTCAGTTGCTCAAACCCATCTTGTCTCTCATCATTTCAAATTTGATCTTAACCGGCTTATACTATGAGTGTGGAGCACACACGCAGATAGGCCTGTGGCATGTGTCACAATGGTGCAAGGGACACAAATGTCTCTGGATGACCCAGACCTGTCTCAGAATAAAGTTGCTATGAACTACTCTAACTGCTGTTGTCTAGACCTGACATATTTTTGCCTTTATTTTTAGCTTATGTACATGTTGACTTCTGACACCCATTCTTTCTCATCCCTCTTTTTCCACCTGGATTTCTGACCTCTCTCTTCTCTGGTCTCTGATTTCTAATTGTATGACACCTATTACTACCCCCAGTGCTACACTGGCAGGCTAGCCTCTCTTGATTACACCATCTTTGATGACATGGCCCATCTGGCACAGGTCTGGTGTGTTAGCTGTATTTAAGGTGATGATATGAATTACAGAACTATTCTTCACTATAAAAAGGGTTCATGTCAAGATTCCTTTAAACATTTAATTCCTCTGGAACATTTAATATATGGTTTGAGTTATAAAAATTTGATGTCTGTATAACTCCCCAGTATAGTTATTGTACTAAAACAAAGTTTCAACAGCATGGTGCTGGAAAAAACATAAAGCTTTGAGTCAATTGGACAGACGTGGATTTAAATTCCAACTGCCCGTATGAGTTATGTGATTGTGGGCATATTATTAAACTTCTCTAAACCTCAGGTTCTTATTCTTTTTTTTTCATTTTTGGTTTTTGTTCTCTAAAGTGAGAATAAATGATACCTCTCCTGAAAGTTTGTTGTGGAATTAATTAAAATAATGTACGTAAGACACTATATCTGCTAAGGTTCTCATTAAATTTTGAAAAAGCTTACTATACAATATATAGAGAGCGTATAAGCTTATATATATATAAGTATATATATAAGTAAAATTAAGATTAAAGCATGACTATTAAGACATTTTACTCATACAGATGTATGGGTACCAATGTTCATATTTTTCAAGTGGCAAATATGAAAATTAATTTCTTTTTTTTAAGATTTTATTTATTTATTTGAGAGAGAGAGAATGAGAGATAGAGAGCACGAGAGGGAAGAGGGTCAGAGGGAGAAGCAGACTCCCTGCCGAGCAGGGAGCCCGATGCGGGACTCGATCCCGGGACTCCAGGATCATGACCCGAGCCGAAGGCAGTCACTCAACCAACTGAGCCACCCAGGTGCCCAAAAAATTAATTTCTTAAACAAAAGTTTTCATAACACATTTTATGAAGGGACTTTATAATTTTGAAGGAATTAGGTGAAGTTTCTTTCTGTGTTTCTTTTGGAGGAATCAATTTTTCATTGTTTCATTCTTTCATTCAAATAATATTTTTTAGTAAGAAAAAATAGGGTATGGAAATCTTACCACTAAATATGAACTCAGGGTGCCTGGGTGGCTCAGTCGTTAAGCGTCTGCCTTCGACTCAGGTCATGATCCCAGGGTCCTGGGATCGAGTCCCACATCGGGCTCCCTGCTCTGCGGGAAGCCTGCTTCTCCCTCTCCCACTCCCCCTGCTTGTGTTCCTGCTCTCGCTATGTTTCTCTCTGTCAAATAAAAAATAAATAAATAAATAAATAAATAAATAAATATGAACTCAAAGTTTGTAAAAACTAGGACTTCACAAGCTATATTCCCTCCACAAAAATGTTAAAAGATGTTACAATTAAAGAAATTAAATAAATGTGAGACCTTACAATAGCACCATATTTCATTAAATCTATGACATAAAACATTTCACATTTTCAAATTCTGAAAGCCAGATGCATCTTAACATCATTGGTGTATCATAATTTAAATTAAGCTGTTTCTCTCTTAGTGGTACATAATGGATGATATGTCACAATTCATAACATCATGAGTTCAATAAAATGAGAGAGAACTTCAAAAAAAACACAATGCATATTTGCATATCAAAAGATCCAAGAAATTATGTTGAAAAAGATACAAATTTAGGATTAGGCAATTAGGAGTTCAGGATTCATGTTCTCAACTAGATTACAGTAGTTTCTGTTACTCACAGGTAATACATTCCCAGACCCCCAGTGGATGCCTGAAAACACGGATAGTACTGAATGCTCTATATACTGTTTTTTCCTTTACATATATACCTATATCAAGTTTAATTTATAAATTAGGCACAGTAAGAGACTAACAATAACTAATAATAAAATAGAACAATTGTAGCACTATATTATAATAAAAGTCATTGAATGTGGTCTGTCACTCTCAAAATATCTTATTGTAGTGCACTCACCCATCTTATGATAATGTGAGATGATAAAATTCCTACATGATGAGATGAAATGAGGTGATTGACTTAGGTATTGTGACATAGAATTAGGCTACTATTGATCTAACAATAGGTCAGAAGGAGAATCATCTGTTTCTAGACCGCAGCTGACCACGGGTAGCTAAAACCCCCAGAAAATGTAACCACAGATGAGGGGGGAGTTCTGTATTCTCCTGCTGTGAAGAAACCACTGTACCATCCAGGATATTTATTTTTCAAAACCTCATATACCATTTGTTCGCTATTTTTTTATTTACAAAGCTATTTCTAAAATGTTATCTTGCTTATAGCAGGTAATGTCTACTCTGAGTTTACAGATAGACAACACCACAAAGTTGGAAAAAAAAGAAAATGCTTTTCCCACAAGTACCACCCACCACCACCACCTTCCCTCCCCTTTGTTGTTTGAAGTCTGAAGAGAACCATCAGAATAACTACACAATTTGAAGTTGGAAAAAAACCTCCACCTACCAAACAGACCACCAGCATACCCCGTAAAAACCATAGCACCCAGCATGTATTGTCATACATAAGCGGTATTCAGTTATTAGTGGCTTCCTCTGCAAGCCTTTCACAGGCTTCTAAGGTCAACAGATCACTGCTACTCTCGCTTGGACCCCAAGCACATGCTTACCTGTTCCTTGCTGTCCTGCCTCACCTCGGATTTTCCCCTCACCCCTCTTAGAAGAACACGCATTGTGCATGACATTCATCCCCAGTTTCTACTCAAACCCATACATGTTGTAAATAGGCTGGTTGGCAAGTCGTGGACCTATCGTCTTTCAAAACTCGGTTCCTAAAAGATTTTCTGAATAGTAAGAAAGCCTGTTGTGATTATTGCCCCTCTTTGCAGCTAACAGGCCCTATTCAAGTCATCCATCAGGCAAAAGCTTGCTGTGATGTCAAAGGAGGAAAGAATGAACTGAGCTTCAAGCAAGGAGAGCAAATTGAAATAATCCGCATCACAGACAACCCTGAAGGAAAATGGCTGGGCAGAACGGCAAGGGGGTCATGTGAGTGCAAATTTTCCTATGACTTCAAAGTGCTGGGTTTTTTTTTTAAAAAACAATATTAAATATGCAACTTCTCTTAAGTTAGGAGTAGTTAACAGAGAGGACAAAAATAGGAAAATTTAAAATGACAAGGATGGCTCCATCTTTACCTCATCTGCGTTATTGTTTTAGTGGGGAGCAATGTAAATATTTATATTATTCCAGGGAGGAACAAAGGGCATTAGGTTTCTCATTGATGTTAAATGGGGCGGGGGGTGGGGGGGATGAATCATGTGAGTCACTTTGGAATCTTGAAAATGGACTCTAAGCTTACGGCAAATCACAACGGCCTAAGACTTCGACAAAGTCCAGTCAAATGTGTCTACATCGGAAGTCTATAAATCAGAAGTGCATGCAAAGAAACGAAGGGAAATTTTAAAGAGCAAATGCAATTGATATTTTATTTACAACTTTGAGATATTGAAACTACAGTTACCTGACCATAAATCATTCCTCCTGTTGGTAGATGGCTATATTAGAACAACTGCTGTCCAGATTGACTATGATTCTCTGAAACGGAAGAAAACATCTCTCAGTGCTCTTTCATCAAGAGCTATTGAAGATGACCAGGAGGTGTATGATGATGTTGCAGAGCAGGATGATATTAGCAGGTATGTGCAAATACAAAATGTGAAGCAGATCAGACTGTCGTCTTGTCAGAGATTATATATTTTAAGATCCTAGAATTTTACTTTCTGTGTTTCCAACTGCTCACTATCACTAAATTACCGTTTACAATTACAGATACTTCAGTGTGGGTGAAAGGTCACTTGAAACTCCATAGTCTTTTATTTCACTCTTCAGCTGTGGGTATCAAATACCACTTAAAAAATAATAGGCCATTTGCCAGGTCTTGCTAAATGCGTTGTCATTCTGAAACAAAGTTTTCTAATATTCGTTCTGATTTGAACTTAAGGCTATGCCTAAAGTAAATATGATTTTGCAAAATATGGAGCATGAGATATAAAATTCAGCTCTAAAAATATAAAAATTTTTGCTCTAAAATCTCTGAATCTAAATATATTTGTTGTTCTTATTTTTTTAGGATTTTATTTATTTATTTGATAGAGAGAGACACAGCCAGAGAGGGAACACAAGCAGGGGGAGTGGGAGAGGGAGAAGCAGGCTTCCCACTGGGCAGGAAGCCCGATGTGGGGCTCGATCCCAGGACCGTGGGATCATAACCTGAGCCAAAGGCAGACGCTTAATGACTGAGCCACCCAGGCGCCCCTTTGTTGTTCTTATTTGAAAAGATAACAGAAAGAAGATTGCTTTTTTTTTTAAAGATTTTATTTATTTATTTGAGAGAGAGATAGTGACAGAGATAGCAAGAGAGAGCACAAGCTGGGACAAGAGGGAGAAGCAGCCTTCCCACTGAGCAGGGAGCCTGATGTGGGGCTTGATCCCAGGACCCAGGGATCATGACCTGACCTGGAGGCAGATGCTTAGCCGACTGAGCCACCCAGGCACCCCAGAAGATTGCTTTTTAATAAAACTCTACTTAGCTTTTAAAAATAAAAGCTCAATTCACTATGACCCCTGGGAATCAACGAGGGGTCCAATTTTATTTCCATGGCCCATTCATTCCACTAGATTGGAATGATTCTCCCGGTAGGAGTCACAGGAACACCTTCCCAGGGTAGAGGAACAGAACAAGACATCCTGGGCGCCTGGGTGGCTCAGTCGTTAAGCGTCTGCCTTTGGCTCAGGTCATGGTCCCAGGGTCCTGGGATCGAGTCCCACATCAGGCTCCCCGCTCAGCGGGAGGCCTGCTTCTCCCTCCCCCACTCCCCCTGCTTGTGTTCCCTCTCTCTCTGTCTCTCTCTCTCTGTCAAATAAATGAATAAAATCTTTAAAAAAAAAAAAAAAGAACAAGACATCCTTTCTGGGAGGAGGCAGGAGAGGAGAGGCACCATCTTCTCCCATGTACCTTTCCTTCTCATCTTTCCCTTCTCAGTCTTCTGCTTCCTTTCTCCATCCCTCCTTTTCTATCTCTTTTTTCCAGCTCTGACCTTCCTGGTCCCTTCTGCCCCTTTTTGCTTTTCCATTTTCCTTCTCCTTTCATTCCTTCCTTCCTTCCTCCAATATCTCCCTTTCCGGGTAAAGCCGTACCCCTTCAAGTTGAAGGAAAAGAGCATGAAAATCTCCAGCCCAGTTAGGAATTCTCGTTTTCCTGTGCCCTTGTTGTAGAATTGGGGAAAACATCCACTCTATGATCTCAAAACACACAGTCTGTGCTGGATCTTCACTTGGGTAAAAATGGGGTCTGCGTCCTTCATAACTCACAGTTCAAAGAAAAAAAATTGCTTCAATTATCAAACATTTTTAAAGTGTAAAATGATCAAAATAGTAACATACTTATAAAATGTATGAAGAATGCCGTTTCCTTCCCATAGTTGTTCACTTCGTGTCATCAGTTAAACTTGCTGTGTTGCTTTCTGGCAGCTTTGTCTTTCTAAATAGCCCGCGATGCCTTCTTGTCATGTTTTGATATATGTTGCATAATTTATGGCATGTTTACCATAAATTATGCAACATATATCAAAATATGTAATGTATACACTGGAGTTTACAGATCATAAATTGGCTTTAGTAATCAGAAACGCTCTCTGACCTAGCTTGGGAGTCTATAAATGCCAGTTTTGAGGTCAAAGTTTTAAAAGGCCGTATTCTGAGATTTACAGAATTTTCTGTACATGAGTGTGTCATTCTGCCTATTTTCAGTGTATATACTTTATGCTTTATGTTTTATTTATTTTAAAAAATGCTTTTCTCTTATTTTGAGATTGAAGAATTCCAGGAATATTAATTCATACATATTTATGATGCACGTACTCAGGAAAAAATAATAAATCCATGAAAAGGAAGGATGTTCTTAAAATGAAGCATTATTTAATCATGATAGGCAACTATTTCCCCAAACTAATACTATTACCTTTTCCATTGTATGGAGTCCATAGATACTGCAACTCTAGAAGACATGCTGTAATTAGTAAGCATGTAGCAGAAAAAGAACCTATTTAATGAAATGGAGTTGGAGGAGGTGTATGGTTTTCACGCTCAATATCTTAAACAAACCCAGCGCCGCAGTAGTTACTAGCATGTATGTCACCCTTATGCATAGTTAATAAGAAAATGAAAGAAGAGAAAATGAAAACACAAGTTTGGTGTTGGGTTTGTTTTTGTTTTTGTTTTTTTGGTTTTTTTTTTTGAAGCTACAGCTGCTGCCGGGAGAGATCCCACAACAGAACAGGCTTTGTCCTTAGTAGAACAAGGGAAGATGCTGAGTACAGTCGGCAGCTTGCCCTGGCAAGAGTAGGAGGAAGCACCCTCTTCTCCTTCCCCTTCTCTAGATGCCTCCTGGGTCCTCGCCTGCTTCACCTACTCTTTCCTGATCGCTCCAAGGGTAGGGGGCGCTGACTGCACTTCAGCTTCTGTGAGCTGACAGGAGGCTTAAAAGCACAGGTCCTGACAGCTGTCCTTCTCCCTTTTTTCTCCACTAAAGCAATTTCTGTAATAAATATGAGATGTTGAAGAAAAGGAAATTATACATGCAAGTACTTCATCACATAACAAACTTTGCTTCTCTGCAGGGTCCTCAAACTTCTTCCTTCCATCTTTTCCTTCCTTTCTCTTTTCTGGCACATTCTTCTCCTTACCTCCACTTCATCTGGTAAATGCTTTGTATTCCAAATAGACTATTTATAAGAAGTTGAAGAATTGCTCTAAAAATAAAATAATGTGTGGCAGCTTTGGTCCTGATTATTAAAACTCCGTTCTTGGGGAATTGGTATGAGAATCTCCAAGATGACATGTATTTGCCAAGAATGGCAGCCCACCAAAATTGCAATTTTTCACATGATTCTAACTGCTTGCTTCACACTCACAGGGAAGTGTCAGACAAAATGAATGTGAAAAAGTATGTAAGCAAGTGGAGAATATACTTAAACTTCATCAAAAATCAATTCCTTATTTACATATTAGGACATTTATAGCATGTTTTTCTACAAAGTTCCATTAACAAGGTATGTTTTATTTCTAAATTAAGTGTAGATCTGTGTCAGACCCATTCAAGGTTGAGGAATTAGATGTGAGTGTATAATTAATACTGCATGACTGTAATATCAGACCAATATCTGTTGCTGGCAGATTATCCAAAGGGCAAAAATGTTGGTTTCAAGGGGTGCAGTGAAGTGAAGACAAAACAACATTATAGAGGAAGGAAGGACGCTGAGGTTCTTATGTCAGCTCTTCTGTTAATTAAAAGTGGGTTTGGTCAAGTCACTTCATTTCTCAGAACCTCAGTTTCCTTTCTGCAAAATGAGGGGATTAAAACTGACTTCTGAGATTTTCCCAGTTCTCACAATCTACTCTTCTTTTGCTCTAGCAGAACTCACATTTTAGTGAAAGACACAGGCAAGAAAACAGATGATTATAAAATAGGGACAATAAAGAATGTTAGAGAAATAAATAAGAAATACAAGCAATATGGATTTAGAAAATTGAGGGCCACACTATTTACAATAATAATAAAATTTCAGGGCACCTGGTTGGCTCAGTCGGTTAAGTATCCAACTCTTGATTTGGCTCAGGTCATGATCTCAGGGTCGGAAGATTGAGCCCCACATCAGGCTCTGTGCTGGGTGTGGAGCCTGCTTAAGTTTCTCCCCCTCTCTCTCCCTGCCCCCCCTCCACCCCTCCACGCTCTCTCTCTCTGTCTCTCAAATAAAGATATCTTTTTTTAAAAAAAAGAGTAAGATTTCATGAGTAAGATTTCAACTTTCTAGAAATTCTCTCCTTAAAAAAGAATATAATGCAACTGGACTAAGATAAAATGCTGTGGCTATAATATATTAAAAGAGAATTGGGGGCATCTGGGCGGTTCAGTCGTTTGAGCATCTGCCTTCGGGTCAGGTCGTGATCTCAGAGTCCTGGGAAGGAGCCCCGCATCGGGCTCCCTGCTCAGCGGGGAGTTTGCTTCTCCCTCTCCCTCTGCCCCTCCTCCCCCGCTCCTGCTCTTTCTCTCTCAAATAAATAAATAAATAAATAAATAAAATCTTTTTTTTAAAAAAAAGAGAATTGAATTTAATGTAATAATGGTTTTATATGACTTCTGGAATACTACTGTTGGTTGGTTGGTTGTTTTTCATAGATCTATCTATGGAATGATGCAATAATGTATAACCTAAAAACTACCTCCCGGGGAAATGTTAAAAGCAAACAGTAACATTGTTTTGAAAACTTTATGTAGTACTGACAATCACTGGATTCTTATTAGGTTTGTTTTGTTTTGTTTCTTGCCTTGTTTCTATTATGATAAGGAACAATGTTTCTTCTTCTTTACATAGAACATCCTGATAACTTTGAACTGCAATGTTATTTCTCTTTTGCATGACTGTTCAATATATGTACTTCTCTTCCTGATAGCTACATAACTCATACGCTAATTTAATTTGTTTATTATTTTTTCCCTAGCCACAGTCAGAGTGGAAGTGGAGGTAAGCCACACACCTTTATCAGCAGTTTCTTCAAGTCTTCACCATTTTTGTCTATATTAATGACAAAATGCTTTTGTTTGCAAGTAATGAAGAGGATCTTAATGTGGTACCACTGGACTGGGAGCCAATGACCTGGATTCTAGTCCTGCCCACTGAGTGACCCTAAACAAGTCACTTCTTTCTTCCAAGTTTGTTGTGGGTCATAGGGTGACACTATCCCCGGTGTGCCCAGGGCAATCTTGATTTATGCCAATTGTCTGAGCACAATTATTAATAGCATCCCCCTTCACTTTTAGAAGTATCCTTATTTGGATAATTTATATGGTTACCTTAACTATGACTCCTAAAGACTCCTCATATTCTCATCACCAAAATAAAGGTATTTTACTAATAACTTTCAGTGCTAAAATTCTCATCCTAAAAGTCAGATTTCAAGTTCTTTGTGCATATTTCTGCACAGAGGAGGTACTCAATAAACATTTATAAATAAATATTTGTCAAATAGCAAGGATCCTGAGGGTTTACAACAAAGAGTTTAACTCTTAAAATATCACTTTCTTAAAAAGATTTTATTTATTTATTTGTCAGAGAGAGACACAGTGAGAGAGGGAACACAAGCAGGGGGAGTAGAAGAGGGAGAAGCAGACTCCCGGCTGAGCAGGGAGCCCAATGCGGGGCTCGATCCCAGTACCCTGGGATTGTGACCTGAGCGGAAGGCAGACGCTTAATGACTGAACCACCCAGGCACCCCTTAAAATATCACTTTGATTAAATGAATCAGAGCTACTGCCAAAATTCAAAAATTCACCTTTCATTCTGTTTTTCTTTGCTTATATCTTGATCAGTATCTTTTTCTGAATGTCCCCTCACTATTAATTAAATTTTTATCACCTCCTTTTTCCACAATATTTAACTCTATCCCTATTCGGTTTTATTTTTTCTCATATTTATTCTCCCCTATTCCTTTTATCTCCAATGCATAGCGCCCCTTATCATCCTTCATATATTTATTAAATTTCACCTCTAAGAATTCCTTTATAAATAATCAACAAAACAATTTACCTACTACCTATGTGAGAGTGGGAAAATAAAGTTATTTTTTAATTAAATGGTTAATAAGGAACACGGACTTTTCTGGAGTTAAATAAGGCAGATTTATTATCAAATTTTGAGTGACTGTTACATGACCAAGTTATAAAATTAACAGAAGATTCTTTCCCCCACACCATCCAAATGAAGGGATGTTCCCACCTCCCCCAGATGATGATATTTATGATGGGATCGAAGAGGAAGATGCTGATGATGGGTAAGAATAATCAGTGAACTGCTTTCTTGAAAATTTTTTACATACTGAAATTTAGTGTTGATTTTTGGTTAGAATAAAAAGCAAAAAATAGTGCTCTTTATTACAACACCAATAACGACTTGAATGTTTAATTAATAGCAGAAGTAAGTCAGAAAGTATAATTGCACTACACTTCAAGTGAAGTGGTATATTATTTGGAAGAACCTCAACAACTTTGTCAAAAGCAGTGAAATGAAAAAGAATTATCTGTTACAGATTTTTTTTCAAACTTTTCCCAATCATTTATTTATCAATCAATAATCTCTGGAGAGTTTATCAGTTGCATGGCTATCCTCTGTATAATAATCATAGTTTTAGACAATCCAAATAAAATGAAACCTATGCTATTTTTGGCAAAACCAGTATTGAGGGGGGCTGGGGTAACTGGGTGACAGGCATTAGGGAGGGCACGTGATGTAATGAGCACTGGCTGTTATATACAACTCATGAATCACTGAACTCTCCCTCTGAAACTAATAATACACTGTATGTTAATTGAATTTAAATTTAAAAATAAAAATTAAAAAAAACAGTATTGAATGCTTAATTCTCTGGTTGTTTAATCTTTTGTAATGACGTATTTTAGAATTTAAGATCTGTCATGTACTTAAGATCTGTCACATATTTTAAACATAAAATAATGCAAAATTGATGTTTAAAACTTAATTTTGACTTAGCTTGCTATTTTAAAACCAAGAGAAATTTCACTAAATAGAAAAAATAACTTACCCACTACTTACCTAGTAGCAGCAGTATTCAAAGACCATGGCCTCTAAATGTAAAAGCATCATCTTGTTGAATACAATGAGTAGCTTGCTGCCTGAATGATCAATGCAGTAAAACTATAAAAAATCTGAACGTCCACCCAACGTCTTCACATTCCACCAATGATTCCATTCTGATCAATGCCTGCATGCTCCTAAGCTCCACACTACAGGTTGAAGAGAAGAGTAATTCATGGTCCTGGGGGATTTTGAAGATGTTAAAGGGAAAAGATGACAAAAAGAAAAGTATACGAGAGAAACCTAAAGTTCCTGAGTCAGACAATAATGAAGGTTCATCGTAAGAGTCAACCAACCAAATTCAGTGCACAATAACTACACTAATAATAATTTAATCAAGTGCTACTAATATTTTATAACCAATAACCACATTCTGACAGGCTTAAGTCACTTCAACATTATTTTCCATTAGTCATCTTAGCCTCATTTATGGTGTCACCCTTACACTCATGCATTTACATAAGAGGAACACAAAGTATTCAAAAATTGTCATATGGTTCAAAGATATATTTTGCCTTCCCTACAAACATGCACAGAGAACACACACATGCACACACAAACACATACCTTTACATACTCATACACCCTGCATTTAGTAGAACTTTTTTTCACTGCAAAATCATATCTAAAAGCTCACAATTCCAATGCCACCATTTTATTATATAATATTTTATAGTGACTACCCTTCAAAATACACATTCTCTTTTAAAAATTAGCTTGCCAGAAATAAAGGACACCGTTTGGAATTTCTTTTCTCTAAATACAGTATTTAAAGTCTTTGTAACTCAATAGATTCTCATACTTCACTAAAGTCTTTATAAAATGTTAATTCCACATAGAATTCCTCATTTTAAGTCTTCTGTGAGACCTAAAACCAACACTTAGTAAGCAAGACACTCAAAATTGTAAGTAAACATAACAAATCCTCTTTTTTTTAAACAAATCCTCTCTTGATGCACCATTATTCAAATGCAGATCTTACTTAGAAATAAAGGCAGAGATTATTTTTCCTGTTCCAATTGCACACCTCCTAATTTTGATTTTCAATCATTTGAACTAATGACCTCTCACACTTTCATGTAACTGTGCACCATTCTTCTAGTGATATGTGCTTAAAGTTCAGAAAGTAATAAAAGCAAAGGTCCTTTTCTGTTGCAACTAAATGCCACTCAATCCTGATTTCAGATCACTTCTATTAATAAGCTCTCCCTCTCTAGTTTCAGTGGATATTCCTCTCATTCACCATTCTCCTGTTTGGGAAAACATGGTCATACAAAGAATCCTATGACCTTTATTCCTTTCAGCCCTCTATTTCTACTCTTTAAGTCAAATAAAAAGTTTTGACCTGAGCTATGCCAAAATGACTCCAAAACATTGAGTCCATTTAATTTACTCTGATGTGATAATATGCCCAAACCTCATAGAACAAATCTGAAAATATTGGTCCAATGGCTATGGGCAAAATAAACCACTGAATGCCTTGACTTTTGACTTTTTTGGCCACCACTGGAGTTCAAAAAAAAAAAAAGGTCTTGTGAAATTCCAGATTGATGGGCAGAAACTGAGGTTCGGTGGAGAAATGGAGATGAGAAAGGAATGACCATCAACAGAATTAGCCTTCACAAGCCTCCAGGCTTACTTGTTCATGCCTCTCCTAAATAAAAGGGCTCAATTTCTGTGTTTATATTGGTCTGATTATAATTGTGTTCTCATCTTCTTTCCAGTTTCCCTTCTCCTCCTAAACAATCAGGTAAGTAATAAAAACTAATTATATATTTTATATCTCATTTCTTGCAGATGGGGTAGTGGGAAAGCATTGGATATAGTCATGGTATCTGGACTGAAGTCCTGACTCTGAAAATAATAATTTGTGTAACCTTGTCAAGCAACTTCTCCTTGGGGGGGCCACAGCTTCTCAACAGTTAAATAGTGGGAAGAGGAAAATTTTTAATATTGATGGTTTTATTTATTTTATTTATTCATTTGTCAGAGAGAGAGCACAAGCAGGGGGAGCTGTAGGCAGAGGGAGAGGGAGAAGCAGGCTTCCTGCGGAGCAGGGAGCCCGATGCCAGACTCGATCCCAGGACCCTGGGATCATGACCTGAGCAGAAAGCAGACGCTTAACGGACTGAGCCACCCAGTGTCCCTAATATTGATGGTTTTTAAACTGTTCACCCCATCATAGGGGTCACTATGGAGAAAGGAAGGAGTGGACAGGGATGGACACCAATATTTCTCATGTCTCCTCTACCCCGATTCAGTCAAGCCTGATATATTGGGCTTATGCATAAGGATTTCTAAAAATATATCAGATTATATGACACCAAGTCCCTTCTAAATCTAAATTTCTTTGATTTTTTTAAATGTATAATTTATATTGTTTTTGGAAATCTTTCCACTGCTAAATGTGAAACCATTTCTTCTTCGAACAATTTTGATCAGCTTATTTTTTTTTATCCCTGCTGAAACAGACCTTTCAAAGATTCTTCTTAAATTGACTTTGAACAAAATAAAATGTCTCACAGGAATATTCAGAGGTTTTCAAAAAGTTTGTCTGAATTTATAAATAAGTTGAAAGAGAAAACTAAACACACAGATAATCTATTTTTCCAGACTGTTTATCTGATTTCGTTTTCAGTTATCAGTTTGAAAATACATAAGGCACTAATTCAAATTAATCAATAACTGATGAGTTTATATCTTAATCTATAATTTTCAAAAAGTATTCAAGAAATTTAGCTCCACAGAGGGTAAGTATAAAGTGAAACAAATGTGATCAGTTAAGTTAAAAAAAATTGGGTTTTTTTGTTTTGTTCTCAAGTGTATTTTAAGTACATGTGTATGGAATAGTAATTTTTCCCATTCTGGAAACCAATGATATGTCATATTTTTTTAATAGTAATTATGGATTATTCACATAGCTGTGAAATTAATTACCAGAGTGGGGGGAGAATACACACACACAGACACCCATGTAGGTAATATAAATACAGTATATGTGGGGCACCTGGATGGCTCAGTCATTAAGCATCTGCCTTCAGCTCAGGTCATGATCCCAGGGTCCTGGGATCGAGCCCCACATCGGGCTCCCTGCTCGGCGGGAACCCTGTTTCTCCCTCTCCCACTCCCCCTGCTTGTGTTCCCTCTCTCGCTGTGTCTCTCTCTGTCAAATAAAAATAAAATCTTTAAAAAAATATACAGTATATATATGTACTCTATACATATATACAGAGAGAGAGAGGAATTCTTAAAGGAAATTAAATCCTTGCCGCTAACAGAGAGCATCTAAACTTTCTATGATAATCATTCCTTAAAACATTTGTACTCTCTTCAGCTCATCTCTTCAGTTTAATTTGCTGTGGAGCAACTTAATAGGTACAGAGAGGGAGCAATCCTCCTGACTTTATTAACAAGAGGTCTAGATGGAAGAAAAGTATCTACAGATTGGAAAAGCCATTGACCCAGTTAAGGGAACAGCCACTTTCCCACCAACACTGGTTCTTAGTACCTGCTGGTATTGACCAGACATGTCTTATTAGTAGGAATATTCTTTCCATTTTAAGGTGGTACCACACCTAATACTACTATAAGTTAAAAATCAATGAGGGACAGATCAGTGACTAAAAGAGAATGATAGATAAGTAGAAAGATGATAGATAGATAGATAGATAGATAGATAGATAGATAGATAGATAGGCAGACATAGACAAAGACATAGACATATAAATAAAATAATGTATATTATCATAGCATCCCAAATCCCCTAAGAATCAATCTCTACTGCCTATTGCCAATGGCCAGTAATGTTGATTTATTTGTCAGCAATCTACTAATCCTGCCATTCATCACATGCGTGGATCTTCAAATAATCTCAGTCACTGTTTGGGGGGATTTATCCTGATAATGCTAGTTACAATCACAGTCTCTGGTTTTTTTGAGGGAAATTTAGCAGAAGCATCCAAGGAGAGAAAAACCTCTCCCCTTCAAAGAACAGACAGTGCTTCCAGGAAAAATGTATAGAGACCCCAGGAAAACTGATTTTGTTGTCCTCAAAAAATCTTTATATTAAAAACATCATCGGATGCTCATATCAAAATTCAAACTAAAAGTGTTTCAACATTTGATATTTTGCCTTTTGTTAGACATGGGAGATGAAGTTTATGATGATGTGGATGCCTCTGATTTCCCTGCTCCACCAGCAGAGCTGAGGTAGGCAAAATGTTCTCATTTTGAGATGAAAATCCGACTGCTTAAGGAAATTCAACTAGAATAAAACCCCAAAGGCATGTTCATCTACTGTGTTCGATCCTGTTTACTCTGTCCTCTCTCTGATCTCAGCTCTAAAGTTTCTGCTAGGTTTGTGGGTGGAGGATCCTGATCCCCCTCCTCTGCTCGCCCCCTCCCCGGGGTGTTCTGCCCCTGATTATTCTCTGCCCGGTGACTCACTGATGTCTACATTCATTTATTCCTTCGTGTACTCATTCACTGGGAAAATATTTGAGAGTCTGATCACAACTGATGTCACTGATTCATCTCCTCCCTTTATTTTTACCCTTTTCCCAAAAGCTTTTTTGTCTTGAACACACTTCTTAGTTTATATCTCACCCCTCACCTACCTTCTTCAAATCTCTTCTGTCCTCCACAAGATTTTTTCCTTTTATGAAAAAAAAGATGACTTGTGTTTGCAAAGGACTTTGCTCTATCTCTTTTTCACAAAAGCATCAGATTCTCAAAGGTTCCATTCAAATTAAAAAAAAAAAAACGTTAAGGGTGAATAGTGACATTCTTCAACTCACCTAAGGTTTCAATTTAATTTTAGGATAAAACTGTATGAAAAACTGTTAAGATCAGTTAGTACAAAAGGAGTACCATTTGAAACCTCTTTTGAAATAGAAAATAACATGGTAAGATGCTTTTTTATATTCCGATAAACATGTGAGATGAGCTGATACATACAGTGTAGAAAAGCAAGAATACCTCTGTAGCTTTCTCAGGGAAAAAGGTGAATAAAAAGATCTTGAGCTTGATTAGTGAAAGGATGAAAGTGACATAAATGGGAGACAATATGCAGCGTCTTCTGAGCAATACTGCAAAAATGCATGAGTGTTTATTTATTTAGTATTTATTTTTTACCAACACTGTTAAGTTAATTTTACTGAACAAGAGAAAAGTATCAAGATCAAAGAAACTGAAGAGAGAATATGCTATCATTTCTATGTCAGGATCAAGTTCTATAAGCACAACAAACAAGAAAGATGAAAAGAGAATCCTTCTCCTTTTTTCTGAAAAGAAAATCTAATCTTCAGTAATATGTTAGGTTTGAAAATTCCTCACCACTGGGAAGTCACTTCTATCCCTGACATTTTTTAATGCATTTTTCTGTTTTATACTACTGTAAAAATGTCACCACATTCCATTAAACAGCTCTCTAGGAACCCAGTTACACACTGGACCTTTCCTTCAAGTAGAATAAACCCCGGCTGATTAAACTTTATGCGATATGTACCATTTTCTTTGCTGCTGCTTGTTTTCAGAGTTTAAAGACTATTTTATGTTCTCTAATGTAATATTCTATTTTAAACTAAAACTAAGCTTCAATAAGTTATTTTCCAAGAGAGCTCATGGGCCATTTTTAACATGCATGTATGTCCTGATAGTTCCAAAGTGCTAATTCGGGACAGCAAATCCACTACTGACCAGAGCACCGTAACACAGCAGATACTGAGGCAGGATGCAAAACCCAAGGCAGGACACTGTGCTAATTCATTTCACAGTAAATGAACTAAATTCTAAGATTCAAAGCTTAGGAATCAAACATTTTAAATATATCAGTTACAAACAAAACTTTATTGTGGGTAATCTAGATAAAAATTAAAATCAGTGTTTAGAACTTTTCATTGTTCACAAAAATTCTGATTTTTAAAATTCCCTCCTTCAGAGATTCCCAGCCTCTCCCTAACATCCACATTGAACCTTAGCAAATGTTCCTCAGCCTTGGTTGCAAATTAGTATTACCTGGGGAGCTTTAAAACATATATGTCAGTATCTAGACCCCACTCAGTCTAATTAATTAGAATGTGTTTAATTTAATTAGAATTTCTAGGAATTAGACAAAGGCATTGGTACTTTTTTAAAACTTCCCAGGTGATCCTGTATGTGGCTGGGCTGAAGAATCACTATCGTAGGCTTATTCTTATGACAATTAGCATCAGTCTAGTTGGTATCTATGAGATAAAATGTTACTCTGGCTTCATTTTAAATAGATATGAAAACCTGACATATAGATAAACTTTTCAATCCATAAAAATCAATTTTTAAAAAAATGTTCTTTTTCGTAAAGCCTTTTCTATGATATTGGCCAAGCCACTTAATTATCTAGGAAGGTTTGAAAAAATACAGAGTGTTCGACAATAGGGGGGTTGAATCATATGAAACCTCTGATATGTAACCACATTCACACTATACCTCAGTAATTTTATATGGTTCACCATAATAGATAATCACCTACTTCCATTTTAACCATAATCTGTATTATTTTGAAGAATCTCTTCTGTGTTATGAAATATTATCACTTATTACAATGAATGTACTAGATTTCTAAGAAAAGGAATTAATTAAAAACAAAATTTAACAAAATTGTGATGTTATGGATGAAGTCTCTATTGTATGCTGTTCTTTTTAAACTAAGCTAAATGTCGTTTTATGTGTGTTCTGCCATCTTAGTCAAGGAGCCAAGGCTAAGACAGAAGAAAAAGATCCCAAGAAGCTAAAAAAGCAGGAAAAAGAAGAGAAAGACTTCAGGAAAAAGTTTAAAGTATGTCATATTTAAATATCAAAGTTCAAAGCGTAATGAAAAAACCAATGATTTTTAAGTACCAAAATGCACGTATTAAAAGTGTAATTATCAATATCAGTTATCCATCCTAACTCCTTTATTTTCTATATAATTTTCTTTACATTTGAATTTATTCCTTTAACAAATTAAGCAAACTCTCATACATGCACAATGCATATACTGCAATAATTTAAATTCAGCTGTTCTTTGAACTTTAATAATAAGATAATATAAAAATAGAATGGATAAAAAAGATTATATGTATATACACACACACAAATACATATACATACACTGGAATATTATTGAGCCACGAAAAAGAAGGAAATCTTGCCATTTGTGACAACATGGATGGCCCGTAAGGGCATTATGCTGAGTGAAGTAAGTCAAACAGGGGAAGACGAATATTCTATAATATCACTTATATGTGGAATCTTAAAAAGCCAAACGCACAGAAACCAAGTAAAATGATAGTTACCAGAGGCTGGGGCGGGGTACATGGAGGAGATGTTGGTCAGAGGTACAAACTTTCAGTTACAAGATGAATAAGCTTTAGGGGTCTAATGTACAGCATGGTCATTATCCTTAACAATACTGTATTATATACTTGAAAGTTGTAAAGAGAGTGAATCTTAAATGTTCTCACCACAAAAAAGAAGTGGAAATTATGTGAGGTGTTGGAGGTGTTAGCTAAAGATATGATGGTAATCATTTTGTAATATATGAGTATATCAAATCAACACATGCACACCTTTAATTTAAAAGATGTTTTGAATTTTAAAAATAGTGATTCTATTAGGTTGGTGAGATTATGAGTGGTTTTTCCCTCAAAAATTTTTCTTTAATGTTTTTACATTATTTTTTTAAAACAAGGAACTATTTATTTAGCAAAGGCTTTCTTAGTACATCTGTCAACAAATGGATTAGTTTAATAATACACATCAATCAATAATATAAATGTTTTTCTTTTTTTTTACCCAGTATGATGGTGAGATTAGAGTCCTGTATTCGACCAAAGTTGCACCCTCCTTAACTTCTAAAAGGTGGGGCACCAGAGATCTGCAGGTGAAGCCTGGTGAATCTCTTGAAGTTATACAAAGCACTGATGATACAAAAGTTCTTTGCAGAAATGAAGAAGGAAAATGTAAGTCACTGCTTACTTACATCGATACGGCACTCCAGGATTTAATAATCAAACACGTTTTCCTGATCACCCCTGTTTTATTAACTTCGTTTTGTCTGTGCTTTATGAATTGTGGAATACATTAAGAAACTAGAGATCTTGCTGTGCTGAAATTGATGCATTTTATTTGAATCATTTTTCATTTCCCACCTGCTGTATTTGGCACTGTGGTGCCAAGGTAATGCCAAATTAGTACTTCTCAAAATGCGGCCCCACAGACCACCAGCATCAGAAAACCCTTTGTGTACTAAAATCACAGTTGCCTGGACCCGCCCTTGATGTGCTGAGTCATGAGTTCTGGGGAGTCAGATGGAATCTGGGATCGTCACTCCTTCCCTAGCTTATTCTCAGGTACATGAGAGTGAGAAGCGGTGTGCTGAAGGAGTGAGTGGCTCTTGTTCTGGCCTGGTTTTGAAATTATATAGCATATGGCACATCTAGAATTTCCAGTCTTCCTACCTTGCACACTTGTTTTCATTTCCTATTTGGACACACTTCATACGACATAGTATTCCAAATGAATATAAGAGAGTCCCCTGTCTTCTTTCCACTTTATGGGCTATTGAAACTGATGGAGGGAAATGTTTTTGTGACATTTGAAAAGGAAGCTTATTTCACTTAGAGTCCAGGGAAGAGTAATTCAAAATTATGCTTCCTGTATTTATTTTTTAATTTAATTTAATTTCAATTTAATTCCAGTGTAGTTAATGTGCAGTGTTATATTAGTTATAATATAAATGTTATATTATAAAATATAATGAGTCAGCACTCCCATACATCACCCAGCACTGGTCACAAGTGCACGCCTTCATACAGCATCGTATTCCACATGAATACAAGAGAGTCCCTGTCTTCTTTGACTTTATCGGCTATTAAAACCGACAGATGGAAATGTTCTTGTCAAATTTTAAAAAGAAGCTTATTTTATTTAAAGTCCAGGGAAGAGCCATTCAAAATTATGTGTCCTATATTTAAAAGCAAAGAGTCAGTGTGGCTGCCCCCTATCAGCTCGGTTAGTCTGTGTGGAAAACATGAACTCTGAGTCGAATTTTAATGACAGGAAGGTGACTCAGGGACAGGAACTGAAATGGGAGTTTTAAGAATAAAACCAGTGACTCAAGGTTGGGGAAATGGATCTAAAGTTATCATGGAGGAGGTGTGGTTGACTTTTAAAAGGAGAAAATGAAATGTGGGTACAAAGGATAAAAGACACGGGCAGTGTAGTATTAAGACTCAAAGGTCACTGGAGATAATGTGTAAACAGTGCTCCAGGAGATGAAGAAAGCCCTCATTCAGACTAGCATTTGTGAGGATGTACCCCAAGGAATAGCTTTACATGCAGACAAACTCTACGCGTTAAAAGGTCATCAAAAATATTAAAAAGTTTAAAAATTCAGAAAGTATTAAATAGGTTATGATTAATATACCAGATTGAATATTTACATGATGACTATGATAATAATGTGAGGAAATTCTCATGACACAATAGTAAGAGAAATACGAAGCCTCCTTAATGTGGGATTGGATTTACAGCCAGGTTAAAAAATTATGTAAATAAGAGAAACTAAGCTACGCTGCTAATAGAGGCTGATTGAAGTGATGAGCCTAAATGAACCTGTTTTCTCTCCTCTGCTTTCCAAATTATATCACATTTTTTACAAGAGACAATTGTCCTAGTACCCTGTCCTGTGGCCCTTTCTCCAGCGCACAAGCTTCAGACCGATCTTGCCCTGCTGTCCCGAGATTCTTGTCTTTCACGACAAAGCCCATCTAAAGCCGTGCTCCTCAACTCCAAAGTGCACACCCATTGCATGGGGATCTTGTCAAACATGCTGATTCTGATTCAGTAGGTCTGAGGTGAGGTGTAACATCCTGCGTTTTACTAAGCCGCCAGGGGATGGATGCTGCTGGCCCATGGAACATACTCTTGACTAACAAGGGTATAAATGGCTTCATCAACGACCTGCATGGATATAGATGAGCAGGAAGATGCAGCACCAGAAACGGAAATTTGGAGGAGACCCTTATCTTTCTAGGAGCCAGTAGACCTTAAGAGTGAGAAAAACAGTAGCTACTCAGGGATGATTCTGTAAGCTGCTATCATTTCCTATTTGGACATCAATAATTCTGAATACTGTTATGAATACTGGAGGGCTCCTGCCCTCTTGGAATTTATCACTGGTTAAAAATGAGAAGGGTGAACATTATGTAAAATGCTGACAGATCACAAGCAATGGCTCCATGTAACTTTTATCGGGTTTTTTTCTGGCTCAATACCAATGCACTTTACAAGTCCCAAGCTCACTGATAACTAATTCAAGTCTTAGGTGGTTTGGGGTCCATCTCCAACAGAATGGAAACCTGATGATTCTATCAGTAGTGCTTGTATACCTTATGTTTTTTATTTAAAGACTTTCTTTGGACTCTGGACTTTGTCTTAGCTTCTCCATTTAGGGGGTGATTCTGGGAATCACTTATGAGCAAGTGGAAAAGGAGACAGGAAAGGAAAGGCAGTCAATAAAGCCTTGTAATGGAAAAAGTTGCCACTTAGATCATTGGAGCTTATAGCACTTGAGAACTCAGAGTGGCAGTGTTATCACATCCAATGGGAAACAAATTGGGGTACTGATACATCAACTCCCGTCCATGTGGAGTTGAAGCCTACTCCTGGGCAGGTGGCGAGCCATTCGGGATACCAAGCAAGCTGACAAAGAGCTCTGGAAGCCAGAGAAGGGTGATCAGTTAAAAAAAAAAATTGCAAGTGCTGTCCTTTGGAAGTTGGGTGAGCCAAAAGGCACTGACATGGTAGGGGGGAAGGTCTATGGGAAGGCCACCTGGAGCATCTGCTGTTGCCTTTCATGTTAAGTTTTATTCCAAAATATAATTATCATATCTGCTTAATTTCACTTTTATCTTGCCAAATCTCCTGCTTTTCATAACTTTTCTAAACCTCCTGCTTATTCCTTCCTTGAACTGGATCCTTGGCATTCTTAATTTCCCTAATCTCTGATCCATTGCTCATGTAACTTCTGTAGGATTTGGGAGAATTGTTGTGTAGACTTAACCCTCTCTCATCTAGATTATTGCAATAGCCTTTCAAATGATATGTCTACCTTACCCTTACTCTCAGCCAATCCACCTGCCACACCGTTACTCAAATACTGTTTTTTAAAAAACAAATAGTATCTCTACGCTAGTACATAAAACCCTGTGGATCTAGCCTCAACCCCATCAACTATTTCCCATCTGCAACTGCCACTCCAAAAATATATACTACTGACTTGTCATTCCCTGAATAAATTATGCTATTTCATCCTTCTATGCTGTTTTATTCTACATCTAATGCCCATAATTGTCTACTAAAAACAATCCAGTTGTCATCTAAAATTGGAAGCACACCCACTCCTTACTCCTCAGTCACCCATCGCAGTTTCTCTCTCCCCAGCCCCACCATGCTTCTGCTTTTGTCCCTGTAATTGTCCTTCCTATTTTATCAATCTATTATTCATATTAGACTCTGAGATTGAGAGTAACTTCACTGAAACGTTCTCAACACTACTGCCGATACATCCTGTGGTGCTTGGCACCTTGTTCAGGGCTTACTGAATTGAATGTAACAATTTGGAAATTGCAGTTGGAGAACCAGATGAAAGTCTGACATATAGACATGCACAGGAAGAAGTCTGCAGAATAGTTTAACTTGCTAGAAGACAGACGTTCTCAGTGATGTGGTTTGCTTGCTGTGTATCATTTAGGAGTCTTTAAATGTTTCAGTTCCTTATTTTCTACATCTGCTTAGCTGTAAAGGCATTTGCAATCCAACACCATGGTAACCTTAACATTTTTCTTACTTTCCATTCTTAATCCATCAAAGAAAAGCAAGCATAGTTTACTTAAACTTAATTTGTAATGGTAGGAAATTAGAGGCAAAGGCATTAACAACAATCTCTTCCCATTGTGGAGTTGAGTACAAGCCACCATTACAAGCGTTCTCACATTTGATCAATTCACCCACTGGCTTATGGAAACACGTATCGCAGAGGCGTTGAGATCTTAACTATGTATTTCTGGCACATCCCCAGATGTTTAGAATTTCTTGCTAATATTTGAGCGTATTCCACAACTCGATGTCCCGTAAGCTGTGGGTTTCCCCACCTCCTGTCACTGGAGCAAAATTTTCTACAAAAAGTGTGGAAGGAGACATGAACTGAATTATTTGTGATTAAAATGTACTCCATTTTCTTCGGGCATCAAGGAAAGGGAATTTCAAAGATAGTTTGGATTTTCTCAAATCCAATTAATCATTCCTTTGCTTAAATAATTTTGTTTTCAATTTTAAAACAGCATATGCTCACTGAAGAAAATTTTTTAAATTCAGAAACTTAAAAAGTCCTCTGATTTGAAGCCCTAGAAAGGAGAAAGAGACAGAGAGAACATTTCTATAATACTAGGCTAATAATTTATATTTAGTCTTCTACATTGTGTTTTGTTTTTTTCTGTCTGTTATATTATGAGCAGGTTCCCTTGAAGTCAGGCATTGTTCCACTTGTGTGGGTAAATCTGTGCAACATGATTTTATTGTTTTTAACCTGCATGAGGCCAAATTGAGTAAATTGAACTTTATTTCTGGACTCGTCATGACAGATGAAATAATAAAGAAATAACAAAAGTTGTCATTTTTATTAAGCAAGAAATTTGAAAATATTAGAATGAAGATATTTTCAACTTTTCCAAAGATGATTTTGTGTTTCCTTCATAATTTTGTATTCATGACACCCTTCTTAAAAGTGAATCAGTCCTGAGAACTGGCTCGTATGGGGGATGGGTGTTACTTTCTGAATTAGCTTTATCCCACCACATATTTCAAAACACTTGTTTCAAGCCTCTGTGCCCTGCTGTATGAATATGAAGTTTCCAAATAATAATTTCATATTAGTTTCCAGATAAAAATTTCAATTTCATATTCAATAATAATTCATGTGAGAATCCCTGGTGGGCCAGTACCCACAGTAAACATGGTGCCCATTCTACATGGCATGGAGCCACGATGACTTTTTTGCTTCTTTCATTTGTACTTCTCATTAATATTCCTTATGATGAATGTACATGGAACACTGAAGCAAAGAGATCATTTTTCTACTACAAAAATAATTATTTCTAGGAACTATAATGGAGAGATTATATAAAATATAAAAATTCATCGTGGGTCACTTTTTTCAACACTGTCATGAATCATTAATGCTTTTAATAGAATGAGGTTTTAGAGATTTTTAAAGGTACTAGACAGCGAAATCTATGCTGTATTAAAAGTCATTAACCCTGTAAAAATGCTATAGAATAGTAATTTTATAGCTAATGAGTCCCAAATTGTCACATCATTTCAGGAAACTAAAATAGAGCAGTACAGTACCATCTCACACTGCATCTCCTTGATACATTTTTCTTAAGCAATATTCATCATCATTCAAATTTATGTAGCTCACCCACAAAAGCAACAGCTACGGCAGAGCATCCAACAAAAGGGAAAGCCATTCCTTAGAGCTCTGGAATAGGTAAGATATAGGAGGAAATATAATAGGGGTTTGAGAATCTAAAATATATTTTTTATAATTAATTTTGTGAAGACAGGCTATTAAGCTGTATATCATGAGTTATTAACTTTGGTCATGTAAAGGACTATTCAATGCTTAATTACTACAGACAGTACTTAATCCAGGTCTACACAGTTTTAGCATAGATGAGTTTTCTCTTTTTTTTTTAAGATTTTATTTATTTATTTGACAGAAAGAGAGAGCACAAGCAGGGGGAGCAGCAGGGAGAGGGAGAGGGAGAAGCAGGCTACCCGCCGAGCAGGGGGGCCAATGCGGGACTCGATCCCAGGACCCTGGGATCATGACCTGAGCCGAAGGCAGACGTTTAATGGACTGAGCCACCCAGGCGCCTCCAGCATAGATGAATTTTCAAAAGATTACTTAAAAGCAAAGGAAAATAAACACCTTTAATTTCCAAAAATGATGTTTATATTCTCTTTGTTTTGTTCTTTATTTCTTTAAATCTTCTAATGATTTTTTTTAAAAAACAGGAATATATTGATGCTGGAGTAAGTCCAGTCTCTGGCAATAGCTTTAATTTCTTATATATTTCTCTAATTTTTTATCTTCTAATTTTAGTTCAGACACATAACAAAGCCTGAACAGCTCACAGAGATTTCCTTCACTGTCAAAAGCTTCAACTCATCTACGTCATTACTTTTAAATTATTAAGTTAAACATGAATATCTCATGGGAACACTTATTATTGTTCTTTTATTTCCCAATTTGTTTTAAGAAAAAAAACTCAAAAGAAAAGAAGAGCCACCAATTTTAACTAATGGAAACAAAAAAAGTTTGGACTATTACTGTCTATAGAGAAATGTTCACATTTTATTTTAGCTCTAAACATCAGTGCAGGTAAAGACAGACTTCAGCTTTTGGGACCATGACACGAAATCCAGTTTGTTCTAAAAACTTGTTATCTGTATAGATTTTTCTCTTTTGAGAGACACATGTAGAATTTAATTTCTTAGAGACGAGCTTATCCCCTTTTAAAAATTAGGTTAAATTATGATATATACCTTAAATTTTTTAGAAGTCTATTAACATGAAATGAATAAAAGAACTGTGATATCAAAGGCAACCAAGGATATTAATTTTAGATGTTCTTACATTAATAATTTTTGCTACTGCTTTAACTGAAAGAAAAAAGGAAGGTATAACAAGGTCTAATTTTTCAGAGTCTGAGAAAAATATTACATTATTGTGCTTTTATCATTTTGACACATGCTTCATTATTTCCATACTACAGGAATTCAAAGATAACTTTGATTCTTCCTTTTTCAAATAGGATTCTAATAAAGTTTTCATTAAAAAGTGGTGTATTTCTTGATAAAATATTTCAGTGGAGTTTTTTTTACCCTGGAATATTTCAGGGGAAAGTTCATTTTCTTACGTTTCAATCTATAGTTTCATTTGTATAATCCCACTTTTTTTAAAAAAATGTTTTTGCATGTTAAATCAATGGCAATATAACATCAGTATGTTTAAGTAAGTTTATTATCATTTGTATCAATCTTTGCCTATGAGCTTCCTGGTTTATAATTTTTTACACATTTACTCTAATAAAAATTAGATCTAAAGTGGACCAAGACCAATAGATTGGCTCTGAAAGAATTTAGAGGCTGTATTGACAAGGCAATGAATGCTATTAATCTCAAGCATACAGTAGTGTTTAGGTACTAACACAAAACTAATAATTCCAAAGATTAGTAATATTCATTAAATGTCAGCAGAAATTTTCTCAAGAAAAGTAGTCTGAATTTTTTCTTAGGACTATTTTGCACAATAGGGGCAAAGATAACCTTTACTTTTTTGCATAAAATATGGTCTATTTCCCATTTAATAGGGGAATTACTCGAATGCCTGGTATGTGTTCTTTTTTTTTTTTAAGATTTATTTATTTGACAGAGAGAGACACAGCGAGAGAGGGAACACAGGCACGGGGGTAGTGGGAGAGGGAGAGGCAGGCTTCCTGCGGAGCAGGGAGCCCGACACAGGGCTCGATCCCAGGACCCCGGGATCATGACCTGAGCTGAAGGCAGACGCTTAACGAACTGAGCCACCCAGGCGCCCCCTGGTATGTGTTCTTCTAATAATGATTTGTTTCATGAAAGATGAAAATGCACATGTTGACACTGTCAAATGGCAAAAGCAGTATGGAAGACCTTCCACAATGAACGTGAGAATTATTTTGAGACCGTTTAGAATGCATACTCCCCCCAAGTAATCACAAGATTGCTGATCTGAAAGGGGAGTTGAAAACAGTTTTGACTCTGTTCAATGTAACAGAATTTTAAAAGTTAAGGCTTTGATCTGGTGGTATTTGAAATACCTTCCTACGAACTACTTTTGTATTTAGAGAAACTATATCTCCCTAGGACTGGGTCTCATGGGTAACACCATGAAAAAATAGAGTAAAATTTGGTAGAGCCTTGTGCTAGGACCTGCAGCAGCTTGGAGAAAAAGGTAATTTGTTTCTCTTTAAGGGGAAAAGTCGTAAATGGAGGAAAAGAGACATGTAGGAGACAGTGAAAAAATTGAGAGAAAGGGAAAAGAAAAGAAGGGGGGAAAAGTGGACACGAATAAGAAAAATAGGTCTGAGCGCCTGAGTGGTTCATTAGGTTGAGCGTCTGCCTTCAGCTCAGGTCATAATCCCAGGGTCCTGGGATCGAGTCCTGCATCGGGCTCCCCGCTCAGCGGGGTGTCTGCTTCTCCTTTTCCCTCTGTCCTCTGGCTTGTGCTCTCTCTATCCCAAATAAATAAATAAAATCTTTAAAAAAGAAAAATAGGGGGGCGCCTGGGTGGCTCAGTTGGTTAAACCACTGCCTTCAGCTCAGGTCATGCTCCCAGGGTCCTGGGATCGAGCCCCACATCGGGCTCCCTGCTCAGCAGGAAGCCTGCTTCTCCCTCTGCCTGCCGCTTCCCCTGCTTGTGCTCTCTCCCTCTCTCTCCCTCTCTCTCTCTCACTATCTCTCTCTGTGTGTCAAATAAATAAATAAAATCTTTAAAAAAAAAGAAAAAGAAAAAAGAAAAATAGGTCATATTTGGAAATAGAGTTATTCAGTATATCACATTATATCATATTACATTAAATATTCAATTCTATTTCACTTTCTTAAAAGAAACAGTAAAGATTATTAGATTCTGTACTATTAATAAAATTTATTTTCTTTTTTTTCATAGATGGTTATGTCCTTCGGAGTTACTTGGTAGACAAGTAAGTTCATTTTCTTCTACTACTATGCTTGCAAAAAGAGTGTTATGCTTTTCTTTAAGAAAGATTGCTAATAACATCTAAATAACATAATCTACTAAACTGTCATAAATAAATTTTAAAACAATATGCTATCCTAATGTCAATGCTAATGTCATTATGTACCCATAATAAAGTTAAGGTTTTCCTAAAGTGTCACTCTTTTAAATAGACAAAAACCCTTCTCGTTCATGAATATACAGTTCATAGTTATAAACATTCATTGGAGACAGACATGGCAAACATTGGAGGCAGGGGAAAACCACTAACACTTTCATTAATATTTTGCCTTTCACTTACTGATTATTGCAGTTGGTGGAATTGAATTAATCAGGGATCAATTAGTGTCTACACAGTAGGTGCTAATGTCACCTGTTAGTAATTTGGCTGCCATTTGAGGGCTTTTCTTTACTAGGCAGAGTAGAGTATTAAGTTGCCTTTTTGGAAGCATGCCAGAAAAAAAGATAGTCGTCAATGATTCTTCTATTCTTATGAATAAGACATTGTCACAGGCTGGTACTAGTGTTCTATGAGAGTCCCCCTCAAATGTTGTAAGATTCTGTTCCAAGTATATCAGTGCAAGAAGTGAACTCCGTTATGAGGTCATATGCCAACAAAAAGATTTACAAAATTCTGCATAATAAAAAATCAAGGAAGATTCACAAATTGTATCCATAAACAACCTGACACCAATCAGAAAGAGACAACTCAATGCTAGTGCTCTGTCAGCAAACTAGTAAAGAGTCAAATAAAAATAATCATTATACTTTTCTTTTTCTCAGAGCATTAATCACAATGGTAGGCAAGGCACTTTTCTATTTTTCTATTTTCTATGAAAGATACAAATTTCAGGGAAAGAATACGTGGCTTCAGCAGTGATTATTACAGGATGATGAAGAGAGAATTTAGAAAGTATACTCTAAGTAATTATTGGTTCACCATCTATTGACGTGAATACTTAATAAATGTGTATTGAATGAATGATAGGAAGATCTATCCTCTTTGCATTTGTACCAGATCTCCAGTAGCCAACCCTCCCTTAATCTCAGAGAAAGGATCCAAACAGAAGACATAGGCAGCCCACAACATCTGCCATAGTTGGCAGCAACTTGGAGGGCCTGCTGCTGCTTCCATGATAAAAGCATAGTACAGGAACCAAAAGTGGGTCTGGTCAAGGTGACAGTCACCTTACACTAGTCACTGAACTTTGAGACTGTAACCTCCATTTCAAGGCTATATTTGCCATTTATAAAATTTCTATTTTAATTACTTGTATGTCATTCTCTCCTCCATTAGATTATAAGCTTCTTAAAATCAAAGCTTGTGTCTTACTCATGATTATGTCTCCTCGTACATAGGAGGGACTCGGTAGGAAAGGTGTGGAGAGCAGAATATTTTACAAAGATTCAGGACCAAGTACAACCAAAATGTGTAAAAGTAGCCAGAGCTATTATTATGCATGGAGCCTATAACCATAAATATTTTTAGAATTACATAAGAATCACCATACTAACCATATCTTGGCTATTCATTTTGAAACTAATATTTATGTATTTTATAATTAATATTTAGAAATTTTAATTAGAAACATGCAAAAATAATGCACCCATTTCTTATGCCAAATATTATTCTATTTCTTTTTTTAATATTATTCTATTTCATTCAACATTTGAAGTTCAAGTGAAAGTATAAATCTGATTATTAACAAATACAAAGAATCCATTAGGGGATGACAGAGTCAGTCAGAAGACAATGTGACTCTTGATCTCCGGTCCTGAGTTCAAGCCCCATGTGGGGTATAGAGATTACTTAAAAAAAAAAAGACTCCATTAGGGCCCCAAGTGGAGTATTGTGCCATGATTTTTCAGTTTGTTCAGTTCAATAAGCACTTCTTACAACATACAGCTCTGTCCTAGGCTCACGATTGGATCTAAAGGTGAACAAAGCATGGTGTGTGCTCTTGAGGCATGTTTCCCCTATTCCCCATGTCTATGATATGGAATAAGTTGTGGGTTTTTTGGTTACTTTAGAATAGAACAGAGACTAGGTTAAACCAATGAAAGATGATGCAGATGAGCATGAAATTTCTTCCCACTTATAAGTTCACAACATTTAACTTCTCACCCTTAAATGCTTAATTGTGTCCCATAAAATCATATTACTTTTTTTCATATTACTAACTTTTTAATCTAAATATTGCCTTAATGTTAAGAAGATATTTTCTTAAAAATACAAAATTTTTTCTACATTTACAGTGATGGAGAGATCTATGATGATATTGCTGATGGTAAGTTCCACATGGCACCCACCACCAAAAACAATAACAGTGAATTTACTGTTCTTACAAATACTAAAAATAGCTTGCTGGATTAATTAGAACTTTCCAATCTGATCAGAATTTGAATCACTTGAAAATGTTAGGAAAGGTAAATGCTCTGGTATAATTTAAGAAAACTATTTTCGCACATGACTGGAAATCAAGGAAGAATCTTATTTATTTTCTTTGAAAACAGAAGTATGAAAATAGTGAATTTTTCATTATACCATTAATCTTAATATGAACTACTTTCATCCACAAAAATATGTATACTTGACCAATTAGTAGGTATTTTTCATAACCTATAATACTCACTAGTATTCTTTTAACATCACATAGTTACAAATTACAATCTAAAAAATTAATCTCGGGTGCTTGGGTGGCTCTGTTGGTTAAGTGACTGCCTTCGGCTCAGGTCATGATCCTGGAGTCCCAGGATCGAGTCCCGCATCGGGCTCCCTGCTCAGCAGGGAGTCTGCTTCTCCCTCTGACCCTCCCCCCTCTTGTGTGCTCTCTCTCTCTCTCTCATTCTCTCTCTCAAATAAATAAAATCTTTAAAAAAATAAAAAAAAAATTTTTTAAATAAAAAAATAAAAATTAATCTCATCTGAAACGATGCATAGAGTTACTCATGTGGCCTTTTAGTTTCCTTTGAAAATTATGATTCTTACTGATATTTAATATCTTCAATCTCATTTAGGATAACTACCAAAAAGTACATTTAATTAAGTGGCAGATAAAATAATCCTGTGTCTCATTTTGATAAAGAATAAATCTGTCCAGAAACTTTGTTAGAATTAAATACTGAGCAATGAAAGTTAAATACATATATGGTCTTCCATGTAACTACTTTTTCAAAAAGTGAGCCAATTCTACATTTTTTTTTAATTCTAAACTGGGAGAGTATGAATCACCCACATTTCTAAACTTGGAACACTTAGAAGTTATGTGTTTTTGTATAACTCTATTGAAATTCATTTTTTTTTTCAGGTTGCATCTATGACAATGACTAGGTCTCGGCCTTGTTCATTCTGTTATGTGCATTTGATGCCAAAATGAAGTCTGAGTTTTAATAGACGTGTGATTGGATATCTTAGAAAATGAATGCACACAACTACTTGTTACCATTTGTTATACAATTCTGATTATCCTTATGAAGTTTTGAAACTTTGGACTTAGAAAGAGATCGTAACATCTTGGAAGACTGCATCGAAGAGATGTAAGAATTACTAGATATTCCATTTCTGCCTCAGCTGCAGTTATGAAGGCGCTTCTTTTAGACCATCAGTAGACAGCCTCCCCTGCCTAAAAAGAAAAAAAAATTGAGAAGAAATGACTGTGTTGTCTAAAGAAATATGAGGAGGAAGAATAAAGAAATAAAAGGAAGAAAATATTAAAACATTCCACAAGAAGGAAAATTATTTTCTGAACCTCTAATTATGATTGTATCTTATATTCTTTATTCAACTTATCTATCTTTAAAGGAGCACAACTGTCTCCTTTCTTGCTGGTGGGATCAATGTTTTAAAAATTAACAGTGGTAGCCGAATTTGTGTATAAAGATTGTCCCTGTTTGTTAATTGGGAATATATGTTAATTATTTGATAAGAATGTATGTATTTGGTGTGCACACTTAAGATTGAAACTGTAGAAGAGTCAAAAATCAGTTTTCTTTTTGCAGATTCATCCACTAACAGTTTAATCATGTGCTCTGTTTAAAGTACTGTTGGAACTAGAGTAGATAAGAATGAGGATTACCCTAAAATTATGAAGAATGGAAGATGGACTTTGAAATTAATTAGGCTTTTATGGCACCTCTTTACTATGAAGACTCTTTTGAAGGTTTTTGCTCTTCAATTACCTCTGTGGAACTTTTTTTTAACCACTTTACTGGAAAGTTGGCCTCGTGTTTGGACTAGAATATTCCCTGCTCATACATACTCTTTCCCAAAGCAACTCCAAACAAAATGTGAAGCATTTGGATTCCAAATGCTAAGAACACTAAAGACCATGATACAAAATGCAAAACCCTAACACCCAAGAAAATGGCATGTTAGGTAATTTTTTCACAACTTCAAGAATAGTCAAATCCTAAAACTGGCTCTACTACTAATGAACCATGATGTGATATTGGGTAACTTCCCAGTTGCCTCATCTGCAAATTACAGGATTAGACAAAATCAGTTTTTCCCAACGTTTTTATGACCCGTTACCTCAAACTTCTATAATCCTTCCCCCAACCCCAAATCCCATATTTCAGAAACCTTTGTGTATCTTTAAAACTCATTGATTAAATAATGATTAATGCATTTTCCATATTTTAATATTGCAAAGGCCCGTTGGAGCTTCTGAAGAGTGGCCCCACTGAATTGAATCATTTCAAATCATTGTAACTTCAGCCTTCATATTGGTAAAGTGTGATTTCCATTTGGTGTGTTAAAATTTGAAAACAGATCGTCAAAAAAAAAAGAAAGAAAGAAAAGAGACCATCAACCTTTATTGCTCAATTTATAGAGTCTGGAAGTCTAAACCCCCACATTAGAAACCAATCATGTCAAAGTCCTCCTCCAATTATGAAATACTTTGATGTCTACTTTTTGATAGGCTAAGCCAATAAATGCTCAGATGATGAAATTATTTTAATAGATAAATTACATGGTTCAAAAGTATTTTTGGTTTTGTTAAATTTGGTAGCAAATATACATAATACACTGACAGTATATCTCCAGTTATTATTTTCTGATTGAGAATAACATAAATTCAATACACTATCAGTTTTTAAAATTCCAAATTAAACCAAGAGAATATTTTAGAGTTTTGGGCTATACACCAAGAAACAGACACACACATGCCTACAAAAGATTTATGTAATTGATAATCATCTTAATATAAAAGACATATTTGACATATTAATTTTAATATACTAAATATTATTTCTGTTATACTTTTATGTATGGAATTTTGTCACATGAGAAGAGCTACAAATAAATAATACCTTCAGCAGATAACTTCGCCTCCTACTTCATCAAGAAATTGAGGTCATCAACCTTTCTCTCCCGTAATTTGATCCCACATCTGCAGTCTTTCTCTAAACCCAATCTTACCTGTTTTTGCTTCAGCCTCAGAGGATGGAGTACTTCCTGTTAAAGACTTAACCTTCCATTAGTGTCCCTCATGCTTTTCTTCCTATTTTGAATGAAATTGAAATAACCAAGCACAATTCCCTTCACCTTCCAACAACGTTTAACCTTAACCCATGTTCAGACATTGTCCCAAGGAATAAGATGTCACTCCTCAAAGCCATTACCTTTATCAATTTCTTCTTCTTTCTTTCTCTGAAGTTTTCTTCCTTCACAATTAACTAATTCTTTCTCTCTCACACAAACACACACACAAAGTCCCCGCCCAACTTTTCCCCCATTCCCTGCTTCTCTTCCTTTTTTTTTTAACTTGTTCCATTGTGCAGATTCCCTCCTCTAGGCTTACAACATACTGAAGTTCTTCTCATTCAAAAAACAACAGAAACCCTTGCCTTGAATCCAAACATCCCTCAAACTACAACCCATTTTTATCTTCTATCTTCCTTTTCTCATCCCATTGTCTTAAAACGGTAGGGTGCATTTGGCAGGAGGAGAACACTACGCCTCACAGACCCCCAACTACGGGAAGCTTAACTCACCAAAGGTCCTGCCTTCTACACTCTGAATCCCGTTTCCGCAGTTGTGCCAACACCAGGCTTCCTAGAGACTGCTCCTAGCCAATGACTAAGCATGGCAGTCCTTTTCTTGAAAGATACAGAAGACCTCAGGTGGCAGGCTGTGGTTTGAAGACTCCCCGACTGCCTTGCCAAAACTTCCTTACCCTGCATAGTATTTTGAGATGCTTCTTCCCAACGTTCCTCCCTCCCTTCTACATCAGGGTCAGACTTGCTTTGCTCTCTGATGGCTTCTCCAACCTTCCCTGACTCTCTCCCCATTTCCTCTCACACATACATTCTTCCATTTTTTTGTAATGTCAGCCATTTACAATGGGAAATAAATCAGATGAAGCACAGACCACACTATAGCTCTCCAACTTGCCAATAATGAGGAGCCTTTTCGTGGGGGTGAGTGATGGACAAACCTCATTTAGTATCTAGGACAGCCAGATTGCATTTCTGTTAGAAGCACCAAATGCCCTTGAGAGGTCTAGGAGGAATATAATCATAAAAAACTAAGGCTGCTTGCTACACACGAACTCCTCAGCACCTGATGGGATGCAAATGCCATGACCTGGAATAGAAATTTAAAGTCAAATTATGGTTTGGGATTTGCCCAGCTGAGAATAATATTCAATAGCAGATACAGGCTATTGGCAGACAGGTTCTTACTACCAAAGAAGAAGACAGAAATACCTTCTATGACCACCTTCTTATATCAGTTCTTACAAACAGGTCTTTGAAATGATGTAATATTTTTCAAAAACTTCAATTAAGTTGATGAAGAATTTTTTTCAGGCATGTAAATTATCTCTTACTTTTCAAACTCATGATCTTACACACGCCATCAGATATGGAAGCTTGACTCTTCATCACCTCTGTAGGAGCAGTATTGAAAGTAAGACTTTTTAAAGGTAGGATGAAATTTAGGTTATTGTTCTTTAGCTAACATGATATGCTTGTTAGAGTTTCACCCTATATGGTAGAAGCTGTGTTAAGAAAAGCACTGAAATGCTGTTGCCACCCACATTCCTCAGGGGACCAGAGGTCTGTGTTTTTTGTGTGTTCTTTGCGGTTTTTTGTTTTTGTTTGTTTTGTTTTGGTTTTGGTTTTGGTTCTTGTCTTTAATATGTATAGATCTAAAAGAGGTGTAATAAGCTATCATGGTTACTAACCTCCAAGATCTAAATAAATGTACAGGACTAGAAAACCAAAACCACAAGGTATTAAAAGTTTTTGTGCATTTGTCTAGTGGAAAAACAACAGAAAAATCTCTCCTATTGGTAACATAACTGTAGAAATAGACATGCTCAGAAGGTATCTTAGGTTGGGTCCTCCAGAAGCAGAGCTTGAGACTAGAATTCTTGTGTGAGGGATTTGTTGAGGGGGCTCTGCAGGGAAAAAAAAAACAAACCTGTAAGAATGAGGAAGCAGGATAGCACAGGGGAAGAAGTTGGGCAAAGAGGTGTATCTAGCTGCAGCCTATGCTTAGCCTGATTTCAGAAGAAAGAATTGGAGCAAGAGGGGCTCCATTGAATTACCCTATTCCCCCGAGGGCACATGATGTGATGAGCTCTGGGTGTTATATGCAACTAATGAATTAATGAACTCTATGTCTGGAACCTATGATGTACTATATGTTTGCTAATTGAATTTATATTTTAAAAAAATTGAATCAGAAAGAAAGAAAATGATCAGTTGAGGACTAAATCTGGTAACTGAAAATTATCCTAAGATTCTGTTGAGAGAAAATTTTGGACTAAGGGACAAACATTTCTATTTTAAAATGTTTATAAAACAAGATTCATCACTACTGGGCGGGGGGGAAGAAGGGCTCCATTGAGTCAGCTGTCCTGAGGCAAGGGAGCTGGGCTTGTATCTCTGCATCAGCAGTCACTGGTTACCGGAGGCTTCCTCTCCCAACCTCAATCTCCTATGTGTCTGTGTCTGTGGGCAACACTGCCTCTTTGGGCTGAGAGAAATTCTCTGAAGTAAAGTGCAGCTGTGAGTTTCAGCAACCAATTCTTACAGCAACTGAGGGATGGGTGCACCTGCCAGTAAAAGTTACCAGGGGTAGATCAGAAGTAAATTTCCTGCAGAAATAGTGGGCTCTCTCTCTCATCAAATAGGAAGGGACAAAAAAGCATGTATTTTATGGACCAAACACTAAAGCTGGCCTTCCTCGCATCATTAAGGGGTTGCCCCGGCTTGTCAAGGTCCTGTCAGCATCCTGAATCATTTCAGTGGCAATGTCACCTAAGTCACCAATTTTATACTGGTAAGTATGTTGAGAGGCAGTTGAAAGATGAATGTTCATTATAAGTCTATTTATTACTATTCTATGTATCTCACTCGTTTATTCAAAAGGTAAAATCATCCAATCTCAGTATTTGAGTCAATTCCTTATACGTGCTGCATTGTCACTGTCATCCCCACCATCTATTGGCATTTATTGAG